TGGGTGGGGGTTAGAGGGGGGGGAGGGGTGGGGAGGGGAAGGGAGGGGTACTTACGGGCAGAATGTTATGATGAGTTGGGACTGTTGGAGGGCGGTTGTTATTGTTAGGATGGTATGGCAGAAGGGGGGAGTCGTACGTTGAAGGAACTGCATGATATGGGCGTGGGGTCGCAGTTGGCGGTGTAGCCTGGGAATGTGAGCGTTGGGTGTCAACGAAGAGTAGAACGAGGGGGGAGGCGTACATTGGGCGAAGTAGGTGCTGTTGTTGGCGCAGGAGTATCTGTGGATGTGTGAGGGTGATGTGTATCAGAGGAAGCGGGATGCGTACTGTAGAGACAGAGGGACGGAGTAGTTGTTTGTCCTGTAGCGGGAGTAGTCTTTAAGAAGGGAAAAATGGATGGACGGAAGGAAGCGTACTGGGAGATAGATGCCTCGGGTATAGTCAGGTCGACATTTACCGTTGTGCATTTCTCTTCGTCATCGCCACAAGAGCCTGAGGATCAATCAGAGAGGCAGTCTCAAGGGGTGACGATTTCATTTAACCTTGATCTAAGAATCTGATGAGGTGATCAGAGATTGATCTAGCGTGTGGAGGATGGAGGGAGGGCAGCGCACGTATGGATCGTACCGTCGTTGGCGTTGTCGCTATAGTAAGTACCTGTGCTGTTGAGGCTCGTTTTGGAGTTATGAGTGACGATGGAGGGCTGCGGAGAGAACTTGTCAATGGAGAATAGTGGACGAATGAGAGCGTGGAGCTTACTGTCCCGGACCCACAGCTGTTTGAAGAGGTATGGTTAAGGGATGTCCCACAGTCACATGAGGGGATAACTCACTAATTGAAGAAACGAATGGTATGTGACGCGGATGCCACTGACAGGGAGAATGAAAGAGTGGATAGGAAGAAAAGCATGGGGGGAAGAAGGAAGAGGAAAGCGTAGTTTGGTCGATAGGTTTTAAGTCAATTTCGAAGAGGCGGTTGGTGATCAGACAAGACTCGGTCGTCGATGAAACTGATGAATTGTGATGGCGGTGAATCATCTGGGTCCGGCGGCCTGTGTGATAAAGAGAACAGTCTTGGTAGAGAAGTTTCCACGGCCGGCTTACGATTCTCAGACTTGCGGGTGCGCGAGAATACACATATGTACGGTCAACAGAGAGGGAGGACAGTCAGAATGATTGGGTGGTATTGTTATGTGGTCATGGCGCCTTCGGGTCCAACGTACGGAGATAGTGCGCTGCAACGCGTCAGACGGTCCCTTGGTTGTTCGGGATTGCGATTTTTTTAATGCAGGTTTCGGGAGATGGCACAATGCACGCGGATCACTCGTTAATGAAACGCAATTCCAAGAGTTTGAAGCCTCCATTGAGATCAGTTCGGGCATAAAGCACTATTTCCCTGGGGAAAATCGAGACATTCGTTCCTCGGGGTAGTCTTCTGGATTGTTGGTCCCAGTCATGAGCAGCGGGAAGATCAGGGAGGTGTCGATGATCTCTAGCAAGATGTTGCTTCACCCTTGACGATGGTGACCAACTTGAAGAGCTCTGAGAAATTGATGGTCCACGCTGTTATAATTAGTCCGCAGAACTTTGACCATTTATTTTCACTCGCCAGCGTGAACTTGACAATGCACGGTTCAACAAGTGTGGGCGCGTAAACTGTCGGTAACTTCGGTAACCCGTTGCTGATGACAAGGGTCAGGCAAACAGGGACCAACAAAAACCATAATTTCAACCCTGACTCTCATCGTCAGCGCGTTTCATGAGTGCTATTGCTCCTGGTCCGTCGCTACGTCGTCTCGTGGCCTTCATTCTGGCTGCGGTGTTGATATCTGGATGTGAAACGAGGTGTGATGAAGTGAGATATCTTCGCCAGGTACGTCGAGCTCTGTTGAACACTACCCATCGTGAAACAGATGGCCACATGTGCCTAGAACGACGACGATTCGTGAAGACTCTCCTCACGTTCGATATGACGAGCACTACAGGCATTCTTATTCATGCCTCTTGATTACCGTGAGCGATTTGGTCATGGCGGCCGACATCAAGATTGGATTTGGTGTCGTATAGGTACGTCCTTCGTCACCATGCGATCAGTTTCTCAGTGCTAATAAATGAAAAATAGCAATCGTCGAGAGTTGGAGCTCCTGGAGGGTAGAGCACCGTCATCAATACCAATCGTGCGTTTACTTTTCTTCATGGATTCGAGCTGTCATTCATACTTGTTGGACTCATGGAAAGCCGCGCAAGCATAGGCTTCTGGGCTCTCAAGCCACGAATCACTGGGATACCTCTGGAGAATATGTCTACGAGCATCGGTGCTTATTCCTTAATGGTTAGTCGCGCCTCCTAATTCTAGTCTTCCTGAATAACATTTCATGCTTAGGACATATGGCGCGATGACAAAATTCTAGAATGCAACGAGACGGGCAAGGTTATGCTTAGTCAGCGGGTGGGAAGGATATCTACAACGCGCCGCCAGTGGTTGTGCAAACTCTAGCCCTAACCCCCAAGTTGTTCTCATTCAGACTACTGAACTTTGTTGTTACAGAACCTGTTTCCACTGAATCGCTAGTATAGGGCCTAAGCGTACTCGGCCGTATGGTACGATGACTACCATTGATGTTCAGTCAGCCTTTGGACCTGTGCTGCTATCAAGTCTGCGTATGATTCTCGTAGAGGGTACGGCGCTTGATCGAAATGGCATTGACAGTGTACTTACATCGCATCAGAGACCAAATGCCGACGAGCCTTGCGACGATGAATATAACACTCCTGCCTCATGCGCACGTTCAATGCCCCACTGCTACAATGAACGCTACCTGAATTCGTGAATCAGGAGACGTGTACAATGTGAAAGATGGAGCTAAAAGGATCGTGGTCCGTCCTGATGACACTGATGAATTGTGCGTATATCCTTTTCCTCATGCATTCGAGTTGTAATTGAAAAAGGCAATTGTCGCAGTCCGCAAAGGAGTATCTTCCACCTTATGAACCTACCCATTTGCTGCGAAACCAATACTAGTAGTACTCCTGAAATCGGAAGAGAGCGTCGATGCCTATCGCCTTGTCGTTTTCACCACTGTCGCCTTCCCACTACCAAGGGCCTGCTCCAGGTTCTCCTCGAATGTATGGCAATCGCGAGCTAGCAGAGTCTCTAGCAAGGACAAGTCTTATCATAAACAAGGCTTTTGGACTCGGCCCGACTCCTCCGTTATTCACCCACCACCATTATCAGTCTGTCCTCCAGCCACATTAATAATTGCGATCCGTCCCTCAGTTTCGTAGACACTACCAAGATCCTCAAGGCAATGCTGGATTGCCGGGTGTGATCGGTCACTCTGGAGAATAGCGTTAGTGCACGTTTCCTTTGTTAGTTGGATTCATAGTCCTCCTGAGTACTGTTTCATGCTGATGTCTGGTTAGGACATGCAATGCGATGATCAAGCCCTGGAGGGTACGGAATGAAATCAAGGCTCGCTGCGTTTATGCTTAGTCATCTTGCGTATCGCCTCACCCGTGTATTGCTACAATACACAGCCGGGGGTGGTTTTCTTGGACCTGCCCATGATGCTCCAGAGGTCTACAAATCATTACCTATCCGTCTCGTACCTGAAGTTTTCTCTCGGTTCAGACTAACGTCAGGGACAGTCATCGTACACGCTGTAGGGTACGATAGTCAGCAACGGCAGCGGAATCGTACCGTCAATGCCCAAGAAAGATGATATGGCACTGCTGTGCATGGGAGCTTGCTGTGAAGACTGTAGGGGCATGGACTAATCTCGTAGAGGGTGCGGCGCTTCATTGAGAATACTTTAACAGCCTACTGACCTTGCATCAGCGAGTCAGAAGGGAAAAGCTATGCCGCATAGCGCAAATTATACCGCTTGCTAATCCTTCTGGCCTACATTAGCAAGAATACAACTTCTTTAAGAAAGGACCGTTTTACTCCGAGGCGTGTATCAACATCCTGCCTGTCATCAGATTGATCCACGTATCGCTCCTGTACTGAATTCATTTCCGAATTTCTGAGTGACAGTGGCGTACTCCATCCCTAAGAGCTGTGGTTTATCCCCGGGCTTATAACCCAGTTTTGCTCCTCTTATCATGACTCGTTCTCTCAAGCACGACATGCTTCTCTTCATGTTATTGGCTCTCATTAAGAAAGTCGGGTGTGATTCTGTGATTGGAAAACCTGACGTCGATGGTAAGAGGACACTGCTGCAGCTCATTTGGAGCTGCAGTGCTACCATTTTTGTGTGCACCTGGCTCGCTGTTCACCCGAGCGTTCCAGGGAGGGAGGGTTCTCAAAAGGCCGCGGAAGGCTGGCAATAGCTCTTCGTCGCACAAACCTTATGTTACTCGCTATCATCGTTCCGGAAATCATCATTGGGTGGGCTGCTGCACAATGGCGAGTCGTGCGATACGTCAAGAATCGTGAGTCGTTCAGTGCTGTCTTGATTTTGCCGTATTGATATGCTATCAGTGTCTCCCCCAAAAAAGCTCACCATGGCACACGGCTTCTTCGTAACCCATGGTCGGATTCTGTAACAGCCAGGGGGGAGATCCTCTCCGCTAGAGACTTTCATCCCCTCGATCGTGCGCTTGATGAAGAAGCCTGTCGAGAGTCCTGGGTCGCAGAAGTCCCAGAAGAGGAGATTGAGGAGAGAAGTAAAGCCAGTGGATTCTCCAAAGTCGTTGCCATGATCCGGATATCCTGGTTTGTTCCTCCTCCAGTGTCTCGCTCGCCGCATACAGCAGCTCCCTATTGTCCCAATCGAGATGTCTGCATTGGCGTTCTCGATGTTGAGCATCGTGCTGTACATGATGTGGTGGTACAAACTGTTTGATGTCCACGTACACATCGTGGCTCCCCCTCGGCGCAAAGCGTGGCTGTTCTGGACATGATCATGACCGAGAGCATGTTGGGTTGCTCCGACGCGTCGGTGACTGGTATTGTAACGTGTTGGTCGCGATATATGGGGTCTGCGGACGACGATACGATCCCGACTGTCGAGACTGGTGTCTCGGAAATCTACGTGGCTGACTATGTCGATAATCCTTCACGGCCCCTCGACGAGCGGCGTGGGCTGTAGGGGCTCTGTTTGGGTCCATGTATCTCGTTGATTGGTCGTATGAGTTTCCTTCCAGCGTCGAGAGGATTTTGTGGCGCGCGCCTGCTATCGCCATTAAATCGATCCCGCTGTGGTTCGTCGTGTAGGGATACAGCCTCTTCTTTTGCCCTTCTCATTGTTCGATGGTCTTTGCTGCTACCTTTTATATTACGGCGAGGATTTGTATTATCGTTTTGGCCCGTATGTCTTTACGTTGTCTTCTGCCATCGGCCCTTGTTGAGGGCTTCGTGGACGGCGTATATTCCGCATGTTTAGATAATAGTCAGATTTCCCAGTGTCACCTTATGCTTCTCCTCTTGTGAGTGAATGTCTCAGATTTGATATAAATCGTCCCGCTACCCTACTTTTCAACGCGGAAAATGATGTATATACGTCGAGAATGAAAGCGACTTCCTGCAATTGGTGTTCTCGTGACGAGTGCGCGTTTCTTCTTTATCAGTACTGTGCTTGTGTCGATGGGTGTTCCTCATCACCTGCCGAGGATAGGGAAGCTATTGACTTCGTTTCTCTCCAATTCGGACTGTTCACGACAACCCGCGAAGCTCAGCCGATCTCGCGTTCCACATGAAGATGGGAACAATAATAAGTAATAATTGTCCAAAAGGCTTCTGTACTTTTCTCGATGAAGCAGTCTTCCAAATGCGTTCAAAGTGTGCGCAGAACGGCATTGTGAAGAGCACATCCTACTGCCTCACCTCCCACTTCGCTCCCGTACCAAAAACGACGAAACCTTCCGAGTCCAGTCCTATCCTCTTCGTGATCCATTCTCCTTCAGCTTCAAGCCAGAAAACTCGCCACTTCGTCGTTCCTACGGACCGACAGCTGAAGAAGCCTCGTTCACCCCATGGAACGCCACCAACCCGGGCAGTTCCTCGCCCAATCGATTGCTCCAGCCAGGGTTCCGCTGAGGTTCTTTCCGGTATCGAGCCAAGAGAGCATAGGCGCGATATCGTCCAGCCTCTGAGCTTCCATTTTCTTTATGGACCCCCTTGAAGCTGGAGAGCAAAGAGGGTCGCACGGACCGGATAGTCGTGCGGCTCTGATGGTCTCTAGTTCTAGTGGACAGGGGCGGGCCTCTTCCGACAGGCAGCAGTGATGACGTCTTTGTGTGCTATGAGACGTTGGGGTATAGCACAGTCGGGAAGATGTCGACGTTGAGGACGTCCAAGCTGGGGTGGGCGAATATGAATGCGTCACTGGCACAGCGGAGGTTTGTAAGGGATGGCGTCGTGAGGCAAGACCATCGACCGTACAAGAACAGTTCGTCTGCAGGTATGTGGGTGGAATGGGGGGCGGGGACGCGCGTAGGATATGTTGAGATCCTGCATCGTGTTAAAAGAGATAAGGCCAAAGTTTGGGAAAGATACTTACCTCGAGATTGGGGTAGTGGTTGAGCATGTCTTTGATACGACCCAGCTCTGGATTCTGACATGAGCCATAGATGTGCTTCGTGGATTGGAACGACGCGGTTTTGACAGATGGAAGATGAATACGGTGAGGATTAGAGGAAAGATGAATGGATATAGAAGGTGAAGAACCGACGACGAGAGAACGAGCCGCTTGAGTATCTTCACTTCAGATAACGAATGGCACTTCAATAAAGTAGGCCAAACATTATCAATCGAGATTGGAGAGCGGTTACACGACTAGAAGCGCAGTCATCTTCGTCAACGCCGAGACGAGATACCTCTCCTGCCTTTCGTGCATTCCCAGCTCGTCATCGGTCGACTCCAAGTCCGTATCCGTGCCCACGACACTGACAGGTATCCGTAGAGCTTCAACAGACGACCTCTCATCCAGAACCTCCAGCCTCCTGATGTTCTTTGCGAAATATCGATTGATGATCAAGTGGTATTCCACACGGCGATCGAGCTGACCTAGGACTCGATAGTCCAAATCCCGGGGGGGCACAACGATACCGTGCATACGTCGACAAGACACAGAAAGCGATTTGCGTCGAGTCGATGTGGATGAAACACGATGGCGTCGAGAATCTCGATGGGGTGACGCGTAATAAGGGTCCGCTGGGAAGGGGACTCGCCGCCAATGTAGGGCTCGACGATCATGAGGAGGTGGAGCGAGAGTCTGTGCTCTTCTGGTGTGAGTGTGTATTAACACTCAGGCTAAGGATCTTGTGAGAACTATTGAACGCGCGAAATGGGTCCGTGCGGTCGTAGGACCCTAGATGGGTATCAATAGAGAGGGCGGCTTTTCGCTGCCGTCTCCTTCCAGGACGGAGAGCCGGTTTGTTCTTGGAAGGCCATGGAACGAGCGAGAGCAATTCTGCGGCAGCTCGGTTGTCGGTCGTCAAGCTGACCCTGAGCAATCGCGGCAATTAACGAATGGTTCCCACACGACTTGATTAAGGACCAGACCTGTCGTTTGAGGTCGTGACTTCCGCGATATCCGTGAATCACATGTGCAACGCACAATGCAACCGTGCATTGGAGGACCGTTGCACTTTTCGATAGTTCATCCAGCAAGAATTGTCTAGCCAATTATCGTATGTCTCTGGATGCAGTTATGATCAAAATACTTGAGAATCTAGAGCGGGGGAATTTGTATCCAAGTTTCATAGATACAGGAGATATGAGATAACGTACCTGAGCGCCCACAGCACCCCTGTCGTATTCCAATCAAGACGATATGAAAACGCCGCAAAGGTCCCGGAAATCATCGGAGGGACCGAAAACATAGGGATGATGGAATGTCTTAGATCAAGGGAATAGATCCATCAGCTTTTGATTCAGGCAAGAAGAATATCTGGCACTAACTTGATCGAGAGCTCGAGTACCTCAGGCATTTATTTTGGAACGGTCTTGAGAGGCGGTCCTGAGAAGATCAGTCCGGACCGGTGGTCGGTCTTTCAACCTTATCTGCCGTTTGACCCCCGCCATAGCGTCAAGTGTCTGTACGCATTCTAGCGTATCCTCACTCACACGTTCGCCGCAAGTGTTTCTCAAGGCGGTGTCATTTCGTTATCTTTGTTCTCGTGAGTGGAGCTTCTAGTCCTCTTACCTCACTAAATTGTCGCATAGAAACTCATCGATGAATAGCTGTTGCGAGGTCAACATTTCAGCTAGCCTATAATTGACCTTTCAGTGGCCCTCTTACTATCTACTATCTTCTGACCGCAGTTCAGACTGAGACAGTCATCCATTCATATTTTTCATATGCCCCGAAGACTCGGTTGGAACCTATTTCGGCCCTGAACAAATGTCTAGGTTTTTTCACTCAAGAATCCAAAAACACCTGTACCTTAATGGCGCTGCTCTTCTTCTCGTCCTGGAACCCAATGCAAATACAGGTGAGTAGCTCTTTCCTAGAATACACTGCGCTTCTAATATTTCCGTTCCTTTATTGCAGTACCTCTTCTTATTCACCTTTCCATTCTCACGTATCTCTTACTTTCACTGACATGTGCGAAACTCAGATCGCGTCATGCTTGTTCGAACTTAATCATTTCTGCGAAGTCACTCAACCATCAACACGAGTACGGGATACGTCGCTGTTTCACAAACGCCTGCTACCTTGTATAGATAACCTTGTTTTTCGTTGCGATCCTCATTTCTGTCGAAAGAACTAAGGTTGACCTTGTATTTCAAAACAGGACCTTCATCCCCAACTGGAATTCCACAACCTGGCAACGCTTTGTTCTGGTCCTACGCTGATTTCATTATCTCGGCTGTACGAATTTAGAAAGACTGCTTCCTCTTCATCATCGCGATTTGCGATTACTGATTATTTTTCAGGTGGGGATGTTCTCCGTGATCATCTTATTTAGCGTTTCCCATTAACACTGTAGATGCTGCATCGGTGGCCGACTCGAGTAAATGCTTTGCTTCGATTTCCAGGCTCTTTCATGACATTTGGATATCTGAAACCTCCTATTTACGAGGTTGTATGCGAGATTATCATAGCCCAGATATGATTGTTAGCTTGTAAGCTTAATGAGTCTTTCAATTATAAAATTTGGCTGTCAATTAACTGACGGGTGGCCAGCCAATGAAAAAGAATCTTTGAAACCACTTAAATCTCTGGCTGGGAGTTGAACCCAGCTTTTACGCAGCACTCAATGTGATATAAATTCTATGACATGCATGTGTATTAACCAATACACTACCAAAGATTACTCTGATAGATTATGGGCTTTCAGTGTGCCAAACCAAGCACTGGTAAAGAATGGAAGAATATATGATCTGTGACTAGGAAGGCCTGGATCATTCAAGAGAGCCAGGGGAATGGGTTTGTCATGAGCATTGAAGGTCATTCCAGAGAAAGCTGAAATGGATCAGAAAAATCCATATAAATCATAACCACCATCATCTGTATGGTTATTGCTTTCTTCAATTTCTTGTCTATATCCACAGCAACACCTCAATAGCTTATCACCCTCAGACTGATGGACAGATGGAGAGAGTCAATCAGGAAATTGAGAAGTACCTGCAGATATTCATTAACTATAGACAAGATGACTGGATGGAGTGGCTTACCCTAGCAGCTTTCCAGCATAACAATCATGTCCACTCAGCAATAGGCAAAATGCTCTTCTTCATAAACCATGGATGACACCCTCACATTGCTATATCAGAATGACACCATACAACAACTCTAGTGTCCTCCAACTTTGTGTCATTAATGTCCTCCATCTATGCTGAAACTCACATCACACTTGAAAAAGTGGCTGCAGCTATGAAAACACAATACAACAAACACTGCAGGAGCTGGTATTTTTGGCTGTCTGGAGTAATTGATGACACTAATTCTAGTTTCCTTCAGCTTAATGGTATTCTTCAACACTAATAAGAAAGAATAGACAGTCTAAAAATTAACATAATAAATTCCAATGCATTTCACTGTTCAGATTGACTCACAAAGAGAGCAGAGGTGGCTAGTCATTTTGGTATTATTGGAGTTCTTGATTGATTTTAGATAGAACAAAGACAAGAGAAGTTACCATGAGCAAGGAATCAGTGAATGTCATGATTTTAGCCTCTAATCATGATCTGCTGATGTTTATGAAATTTCAATGAACCTCTGACAAACTCAGTCTCAGCTATGGAGAAACTGATTCAGAGCCACATGGAACCATAGATGATGCATGCATGATGATACTATGCTGTGTCTTACTCATCATCTCATGATATACAGCTGGCAACAGCATGATGACCACATAATATGATCATACAATAGCATGGCAATAGGCAGGCAGACTGAAACTTGTATAAAACTTGCTGTAGCAATGGCATTGTGGGCAGACAATGGCATGGCCATATAATAGAGGGATTATTGTTATTGAACAATGAGTAGTAGACATGACAATAGGACAATAGTCACCTGTAGGGTGAAGGGCTTTCTTGGACAGTATTTAAAACAGTAGTATATAACAATGTGTTAGACTCAAGCTGCACATGATGATAAACATGTGATAAACTGATGTCACTTTGCACTTTGAGTGAAAGCATCAGAGTCCACTGATATGTATATTGATCAATGTGCATCAAGGTCTTATAATTGGCTCAAGAGGGGAATGGTATGATGATAAACTTTAGCTTGAAGCTGGAGTTACCAGTGAGAGTGAGCTTTCTTATATACTACAAGTTGTAGCAACTATAAATATGACTACCATTGTGTCTGTCCTTGTTATTGTGCTTATTGTCCTTGAGCATTGCTGCTTTCTACAATAGTATCATTCTGTCATCAGGCAATGCTGTTACATTGAAAGACAATGACTGACTAGGCCTTGTTGTGATAACCAAGCCAGTCTCATAGTCTCAAGTGCTGGGTTAAGCACCCTGACTAAGCATAAATAGGGGTTAATTGAGTAAAAGATAAAAGAATAGAGAAAAATCATAACATTACCCTCTTGTTAAGACCATCATCCTGATGGCTTAATTTAGGGATAACTTATATTCATGAATTGCATTGTCAGCATCCATCTGTTTTTCATTCACCCATTGGTTGAATTCTGATCTATATTCCTTCCAACTAACAAGGTAATTGACTGTTGTTGTCATGCTTCTGTCTCTTGCCTTGACCTTTCATAACTTGTGGTCCAGGATGTGATTGATTTCATAATGTTCTTTATCATCAATCAGATCAGGGGGAGGCAGTGGAGGTTTCTCTTGGTTGGAGAAGACTGGTGCAATATAAGAAGTTAACAATGCTTCATTGAAGACATTGTGGATCTTCCAGTGTGATGACAGCTGTAGGTGATAGACTGACATGCCAATTTTGGCAAGGACCTGGAAAGAACCAGTGTGTTTGTCAGAGAGCTTTCTTTTTGGTTGTGGAAGGTGGAGGTTTGTGGTATCCAGCCAGACCTTGTCTCCATTATTATAAGTGTGTGGAGTATGATGATATTTGTCATATTGCTTTTTCATTGTTGCTGCAGCTTTGTCCAGTGCAGCTTGTGTCTCATTATGAATCTTCATCATCAGAGTGATGAAATCAGTAGACATGAGTGTTGTTGTGTGTGTGTGCATGTCATTTGTGTGATATTGGGATGTCACCCATAGTTTATGAAAAATGGTGTTTTACTAGTTGAGGAGTGGATTCTGTTGTTATGCTGGAATGCTGCCAGAGCTAGCCATTCTATCCAGTCATTCTGTCAATAATTGATAAAGAGCCAAAGATACTTTTCAATCTCTTGATTTGTGTTAGACCCAAGTGTCACATGAACAGATACACATGATAAACAGGTGTTCCTTCACACTTTGAGGGATCAGCTGAGTCCACTGATGCATATTCTGATCAATGTGTCACAAGGCCAAGAGAATTAGCTCAAGTATAGGATGGTGTAAAGATAAACTTTAGCTTGAAGCTGAGGGTTTCCAGTGAGAGTGAGCAATCTTAAGTACTGTACAGGGTCTGCTAATAATACTATGACTAATTGTGTGTCTCTGAGTTCATTGTGCCCATTGTCCTAGGGCATCGCTACTGTACATAAAAGGTTGATTGTGCATCGTTGGGCAATGCCATTGCATTGAAAGACAATGATAGATTTGGCTGATTGTGATGACCAAGCTTTGTCTCACAGTCCTAAGCACTTGTTCTAGTGCTCTGACTAAGCATAAATAGGGGTTAGATCAAGAAAAGAGTGAAAAATTGTAATATTACCCCCTCCTTAAGACTATCATCTCAATGGCTTAATTTAGGGATAATTCATAGTCACATATGGTCTCATTGGCATCCATGTGCTGTTCATTGACCCATTGATGAGATTCAGGGCTATAACCCTTCCAGCTAACCAAATAATCAATTATTGTTGTCATACTGCCCTCTTTTGCCCTGGTCTTTTGTAGTTTGTGGTCAAGGACTTGGTCAACTTCATAATGTTCTTCATTGTTGACAAGGTCTGGAGGTGGCAGCAGAGGGCACTCCTGATTTGAGAATGCTGATACAATATATGGTGACAACAAGGCTTCATTGAAAACATTATGGATCTTCCAGGTTGAAGGAAGGCAAAGTTTATATGCAGAGGTGCTGATTTTGGATAGGATTATGAAGAGGCTAGTATGTTTGTCAGCAAGTTTGCATTTTGGATGCAGGAGGTGAAGGTTTGTTGTATCCAGCCAAACCTTGTTATTGACAGAATAAGTGTGCATGAGGTGACAGTGTTTGTCATACTAGCTCTTCATCATGGTGGCTGCCTTTTCAAGTGCCATCTTTGTTTCTTCATGAATCTTTATCATGGTAGTGGCAAAATCAGATGACACCAGTGTTGTGGTGTGATGATGTGTGCAATATTAGGGTGTTGGCCATAATGTTAGACCCAAGCATCATATGAGCAGAAACACATGATAAACAGAAGCTATCTCACACTTCAGGTAGTCATCTGAGTTCACTGATGCACTTCTGGATTGGTATGTCACAAGGCCAAAGAGGATTGGCTCAAGGATAGAATAGTGTGAATAAACTTTAGCTCAAAGCTGGAGTTTACCAGCAAGCATGAGCCTCTTAAATACTGTACAAGTCCTGTGCTAAATATACTGCTACTAATTGTGTGTCATTGGGTCCTTTGTGCTCATTGTCCTTGAGTGTAATGAAAGGGTGATTGTGTGTTGTCAGGCAATGCTGTTGCATCAAAAGACAAAGACTGACTCAGCTGTTTGTGATGACTAAGCCTTGTCTCATGGTCTTAAGCATCTGTGTTTAGCACTCTGACTAAGCATAAATAAGGATTAATCAAGAAAGAAAGTGGGAAAATCATAGAAAATCATAACATTACTCTCTCCTTAAGATCATCATCCTGATGGCTTAATTTAGGGATAATTTGTAGTCCCATATGGTGGCATCAGCATTTATCTGTTTTTCATTTATCCATTGGTTAGATTCTGGGCTGTAACCTTTCCAACTGATGAGGTAGTTGACTGTTGTTGTTGTTCTGCCCCCTTGGGCTCTGACTTTTTATAATTTGTGATGTAGGACTTGATCCACTTCATAGTGTTCTTTGTTGTTGATCAAGTCAGGTGGCAGAGGCAGAGGGTGTTTCTGATTTGAGAAAGCTGGTGCAATATAAGGTGTTAGTAATGTCTCATTGAAGACATCATGGACCTTTCAAGTCAGTGGCAGCTGAAGTTTGTAGATGCTGGTCCCAATTCTGGATATTATTAGAAACAGGCTCATGCATTTGTCAGCTAGCTTGTGTTTTGGATGTGGAAGGTGGAGGTTAGAAGTGTCAAGGCACACTTTGTCACTGGCACTGTATGAATGTGCTGGGCAATGATGTTTATTGTATTGGGTCTTCATTGCTGATGCTGCTTTTTCAAGGGCTGACTTGGTTTCCACATGGATCTTGGTCATCATAGTCATGAAGTCCGTGGATGAGGGGGTTGTAGTGTGATGTCATTCAGTTTGCATGATGGCTGGGTGTCAGCCATGATTGATAAAGAATGGTGTCTTCTCAGTTGTTGAGTGGACTCAGTTGTTGTGTTGGAAGGTGGTGAGAGCCAGCCATTCTACTCAGTCATCTTGCTGATAGTTAATGAAGAGACAGAGGTATTTCTCTACTTTTTGATTTGCCTGTTCTATTTGTCCATTGGTTTGAGGATGGTATGCAGTGGATGCATTTCACTTGATATTCAGAAGACAATAAAGATTGTCCAGAAATTTTGAGATGAATTGGGG